AGAGACATGGCCATGTAAACCAGTAAACCAGTAAACAAGTCTTAATCAAATGCACTAAATCAAGCATGATGGCAAATTCCTTGTGCAGCGTTAAATCCAGCTGAATTACGACCCAGTGGCTTGTTGGATAGGCAAGCTATATATAATATAATAAATATTGTTTATTTATATTCACAAAAAGTTTTCACAAAAAGTTTTCTCTGTGAGCCAATATGAAATTAGTTCACTTTGAGTCAGGGCTGCATATAGGCTACAGTGTTTTTAGAGTTGCGGAGTGGTAGATGGTTGTCGGAGGAAACATGAATATTTTATACAAGAATAGAAAGTGCTTATTGCCAAAGAAAATTAAAAATGACTCTCGGACTCCCTGTTTGATTTGGCTGTTGGGAGAGTGGAATTTCCTTCACCAGCTTGGCGTCTCGGGGTGCCTTATTGGTTCGTCGCAGAACGCTTGCTTCTTAATGTGGGCAGCTGTTTCCTCCTACATTTAGGGCAGTGGTCAGATTCACTGGCCTCTTTTTCTTTTCTTTTTTTTCTTGTGAACAAATGGGGGAGGGGATGAAATTAGATGGTGTGATAAAAAGTTAATTAGTTAGAAATTGCTTCCACTTCCTGTCAGCAGACAGATTTGCTTCATCTATTAAATCAGAATCTACATGCAAAACAATGACAGCATTGTATTAGTTTATAGTAGTTAAACAACTAGTAAAGTGACTAAAGCAACAATGCTAGTAATGTTTCCGTCATCTTCTGGAATCGAGTGTGAAACTGTCCTGCTTTTGTTTCCATATGTTTTTGTTTTTATGAACATTTTAGTTGATGATAAGTTGAATTTGCTTCTGAATACACTCTTCATAGATATTTTCAGCATTTATACATTTGCATACCCTGCAACCTCATACTTTTATTTCCTTAACCCCATCTGACGTGTCTCGTTGCCCATTTCTTGAGACGTATGAAGGGAGACAACATGATATCAATTAGGAGTGCAATGCTTCAGCATTAAGCCATAGCACAGCTCACATCGATCAATAATGAAGCCTCTTTAGCAGGAAAAGTCTTCCAATGACTTTTCCATTCTTGAGTTTGAGCTAAATTGGTTTTGCAGTTATGGAGCCTGTCACAAGGTCACTCTCTAGATGCTGCTGCTCCGTGCAATTTCCTGTGGACCTGTACCTGAATCTCCAGCTCGGTGACCTAGCGCTAACCTTTCGCTCGAATCTGAGCAGCGATTGTTTGATGAATGAGTAATGTCATTCCCAGCATTAAATAACTGCCTTTCAAAGGCAGCTCTTGCTCCGGACTCTCCGGGGGGTGCTGGGCCTTGTCTTGGAGGCCTAGGCTTCTAAATTACACTGGGTAAATGAACGCTTTATGGCTGTTTGAGAACAGAACATTCTGATCCTGATCATTCAAGAGGAAGCACAAACAACCACGAAACAGACATTTGTTGTTTGTTTGGAACTAGCGACTATGTTTCATATTTGTGACCATCGAAACCACTGAACAAGTGTTTTCTGAACTTAAAATGGTATATATTAGAATAATATTAGGGCTGCCCCCTAATAGTCGACTAACCGTTAGTCGACCAGAAGAGGCTTGGTCGACCAAAATTTTATTAGTCGCTTAGTCGCAGAACAAAAAAAATCCACAGGCGAAGTCACGAAGTCCGTGACAGACAGATCGTTAACGGCTGGTCTATGTGGTAATACAGTACATCGGGCAGGACGTCCAAACGCTCGCCTATCATTCATCTACCTCGGATATAGATTATCATCTGAAATATGTAAATATTAGCAACTTTACATGGCCGCTCAATCTAATGTTAACTTAGAAAAATGTGCGCTTTTCAAGTGTCTGTGCGGGGTGTGGAAACTGAAGAGTAGTGCACTCACTTGCTCCTTACATAGGCTACTCCTTAATTTTTGGTCATATAGATAACAGTAAATACATCTTTCGAATCTGTAAAGACTAAGTTTATTTGTGTGCACTCACAATAACAACAAAACATTGTGCTTTTGTGAAATAATGAAAGCAAAGAGGATGCACTTTCTGCCGTCTCGGTCTCTGTGAACTTGAGCGTGAAACTCCATGTATACTTGCTTTACAGACACAGAAAAATATATCTATAGAGAGCAAAATTGCATATAGGAAATGGAGCAAGTTTCCTGGTGTGATAAGGGGAAACTGAGAGTGTAAAAGCCATTAAGAGACTGCATTTTTCTTGTGAGGGTCAACTGACAGCGACAAACCTCAGGGGCTGAAGTAAATGTAACGCTTCTCCGGATGTGTAATACAGGGAACTGTGTTCATGTCAAAACATTTCAGTTGACTGATGAAAAGTCCCCAAAAACGTACCAAATTGCTAATCTCCAAGTTAACTTTGCTTTTCTGCACCAATAGTGAAATTTTTGTATACTGACCCATTTTTGGCATACTAGCAAGTTGCATTTTAGCAAACTAGCATTCAGGTCTGGCTCAGTAGACCTCAACAATCATGTTCCAGAAGTAAAAATCAGATTAATTTCCCCCCGTCCGTAGGGAATTTTTTTTAAAGGGGTCCTATCGAGTGCTGCCAATCACAACACACACTGGCCCAGCTAACCAATCACAACACATTTCGTATTTCAGAAGGCGGGCCTTCATTTGATACAGGAACTATTCGAGCCGTTCATGCCAGACTGAGGAGAGAGGTGTTGAAATAATGTAAAATATGTGAAAAATAATGTGTTTTTCGAGCAACCTAGTATGAGAGCCTGTTCTAGTACACCTCCAAAACAAAATCAAGACTTTGTAAAAGAGCATAATAGGACCCCTTTAACAATAACTTAACCTTTTAAAGACAGACCTAATAACAGCAAGGTTGTTAAAAGGGTTAGTTCACCCAAAAATGAAAATTCTGTCATTAATTACTCACCCTCATTTTACAGACACAGAAAAATATATCTATAGAGAGCAAAATGTCTATCTTCAAATGGACCAATTCAAATGGAAAACTAATGTTCTCATATGTAATCCGTAACATGCATACAGGCGCATCCACTATTGCGTAGATGATGAGTCGGTATCGCCGACTTAATCTCTTAAACCGAAAACAAAAAAGCACTATTTTATCAATGAATTATTAAAATGTTAATGCAGCCTCCTTCCTGTTTTTCCTGACACATTCATAATCATTACTTCTTGTGTGCTGTGGCAAACTTTATGAGTGTGCTTGAGTGCTTATTAGGCTATGAAGGCAATTAAAGGCTCGGTATTATGATTTAAATGGTTTATTAATAAACGTGAGATTAGTCGACTCACAAATTAAGATATTTTTGATGAAATCTGAGAGCATAGACTGCACAATGCAACTGACACGTTCAAGACCTAAAAAGGCAGTAAGGACATCATTAAAATAGTCCATGTGACATCAGTGGTTCTACCGTAATTTTATGCAGCTACAAGAATATTTTTTGTGCCAGAGAAAATTTTTGGGTGAACTAACCCTTTAATCAATGGTATATGCTTCAGTTGAAGGTAAGATTAGTCGACTAATGCTTAAAATGAACGACTACGAGTCGGCCAGAAAAATCCTTAGTCGGGGACAGCCCTAAATAATATTAATATTTAGCATTTGAATGCGTTTATAGTCCTATATAATTATATATAGGACTATAATAATAATAATAATAATAAATATAATTAAAAATATATATTATTTATATATGCACATATATATATATATATATATGTATGTGTATGTTTCTTTACATTTATGTATTTATATTTATAATTTATTTATATCCTCCTGAGAACCAGAAATAAAAAGCTTTGTGAATTTAGCTATCGAGTGCTGCCAATCACAACACACACTGGCCCAGCTAACCAATCACAACACATTTCGTATTTCAGAAGGCGGGCCTTCATTTGATACAGGAACTATTCGAGCCGTTCATGCCAGACTGAGGAGAGAGGTGTTGAAATAATGTAAAATATGTGAAAAATAATGTGTTTTTCGAGCAACCTAGTATGAGAGCCTGTTCTAGTACACCTCCAAAACAAAATCAAGACTTTGTAAAAGAGCATAATAGGACCCCTTTAACAATAACTTAACCTTTTAAAGACAGACCTAATAACAGCAAGGTTGTTAAAAGGGTTAGTTCACCCAAAAATGAAAATTCTGTCATTAATTACTCACCCTCATGTCGTTCCAAACCCATAAGACCTTCGTTCACACAAATTAAGATATTTTTGATGAAATCTGAGAGCATAGACTGCACAATGCAACTGACACGTTCAAGACCTAAAAAGGCAGTAAGGACATCATTAAAATAGTCCATGTGACATCAGTGGTTCTACCGTAATTTTATGCAGCTACAAGAATATTTTTTGTGCCAGAGAAAATTTTTGGGTGAACTAACCCTTTAATCAATGGTATATGCTTCAGTTGAAGGTATCAGTCTTTATTATTTGAGCTACATCAGCCATGCTTCTGAAGCGAAATCTCCACCAATCAAAGAATCAAAACAAGAAATCTTTATATTTCTACATCATTTTTAATTTGATTGTCATAATGAGATTGTAGTTTTTTCCCTCACTAAAGCCATCAAGTACACAGTCTTGTGCCTTTTGTCTTTTTTGTCCAATTTTCAAATGTTTTGCTTCAAATCAGAGTTTGTAATGTTGATATTTACCCTGTAGCTGGTTGGGTTGATTCAAGGCTCATAACTCTTTAATGAAGACTTTTTAAATTCCTATGAGAAAAATACTTCTAAAAAAAATACTAGTACCACTATAAAAGTATTTCTGGCATGAAAACGCCTACTTTCCATGAGGTGATAAATCACATGCCTACGCTTTTTTTTTCTCTCCATTAAATAACCTGTTTAAATACGAAAGTGCAATATGTTTCAAGTTCGTATGAATCAACAGAATACAATGTGAGGGATTGTATTGTCATGTGATATAGTAACAGATATAGAGTACTAAATTTCAAGCGTTTTGTTTCCTCTCCTCAGTCCCAGAGGATGGTCCAGCCTCCATGTTGCCAGGTCGACTCCCCTTAGCACTGGCTCTCGGGCATCAGCAGCAGCTGGCACGCGCCGCCACCCTGGAGCAGCTGAGGGAGAGGCTGGAGGCCGGCGTGGGAGCCGCCGTGCTGGAGGGGCCCGAGAGGAAGATGGCTCGTCTGGCAGAGGAGCAGCAGAGGCTACTGCAGCAGGCTTTCCAACAAAACCTGCTGGCCATGGCATCACAGGTGAACCCCGCCAACTTGCGGATGGCCAACAACACCAACACCCGCGGTGAGTACCGTGACGTTTTTATCCAAAACATGACTTAGAAAGTGAGACGTGTGTCAGTGACATTTGGATTTTGTTTTCAGAGGAAAAACGGGACCTGTCTCTCAGCATTTCTTCTAATGGATCTGCTAGCATTACTGTGTCTGTGGAGGTCAACGGGATTATTTACTCAGGTGTGTATTATTGTATTTGTGCACGTGTGGGGATTGTCCAATATTGTCTAACGTACTTAACCTCAGGTTACTCCAAGACCCCCTTTCCATTTCTTTGAAACCATTCTATTCTTAAAAGAAAAACTGCCTCTGCATCTGCTCCTAAAACCTGTCAGGCTTATAAAAAAATCCTTTTTATTCCTAGAAAAAAATTAATACTAATGTTGTTTAAATTGTATGCAAGCATACTCCGTTTACAAATTAAATATTTAAACACTGGTCAACTTAATTAATTTTAATTTATTTATATTAGGTCTGTCAATTTAACACGTTAATTAATTAGTTATGAAAAAATAACGCAATTAAAATATTTTAATGCCGTTAACACACTGGCCCCGCCCCCAGATCTGTACATCATCTTGCATTTCATACAGTTGGCTGTTGACACACATGATGCAGGGCAACAACTCCATAAATGCAGTTATGTCCTAAAATTCAACATATGGGCAAAAAAATGCCCCTGTATGAGTTTTTATATCTCATTTATATCATATGATAAGTGATACCATGAGCAGCTAAAGCAATATCACATGAGTTCTGTTTTGTCACGAATATCACGAGTTTAAATGTGATTTTATACAACAGTTCAGTAAATTAGTTAATATTGTTTTTTTTTTTAAAACACAATTTTGTCGGTTTTGCAAAATTTTGCTGAGAAAATATTACCTTTAAAGCCTCCGCAGAACTGTTACGTCTGTGAGCAACACAATGGTGTTTAGTTTCGGAATGAATCCAAATTTCGAACGAATTTTCACTCAAATATAATGTCCACTACAGAGGCAAAAACTCCATAGCTGGGTCTCAGGAGGATATAGTAGATTTGTAGATAATTGTATGTGCGTGTGCTGTCAAACGATTAATCGAGATTAATTGCATCCAAAGTAAAAGTTTTTGATTACATAATATATGTATGTGTATGGCGTAGGCCTATATTTATTCTGTATATATAAATACATAAAATATATATTTTGAAAATATTTACATGTATTTACATATCTAAATTTATATTTATATAATTTATATATATATATCATATGGGCAAAAAAATGCCCCTGTATGAGTTTTTATATCTCATTTATATCATATGATAAGTGATACCATGAGCAGCTAAAGCAATATCACATGAGTTCTGTTTTGTCACGAATATCACGAGTTTAAATGTGATTTTATACAACAGTTCAGTAAATTAGTTAATATTGTTTTTTGAGATTATCACTTGCTTGAGAGAATATAAACCACATTTAATTTCCTTAATTTCCCTAAATAATTTGTTTAGGCAAAAGGAAAACATTGCAGGTCATCTTAAGCATTTGGTGTATTTGCACACCCTAGTGGTGAGACAGAGAGCCACATTCTTATAGCTACATTTCGTTCATTTATTGATGGCTCAATTGGACTGAAAAACTTTTATGTAAATGCCTAAAATTGATCGGAATGAGCTTGAACTGAATGCAATTTCAATGAGAGGGGTGTAGACCTGAAACGATCTGATCAGTAGGAAAAATTAGCATGTAAACGCCTGAATCTGGCTACGTTTACATTTATTGTTTTAGCAGCTCAGTTGTATTCAAAAAAATGTTGCTAATGTTTACGTTTGCAAAATTTTGCTGAGAAAATATTACCTTTAAAGCCTCCGCAGAACTGTTACGTCTGTGAGCAACACAATGGTGTTTAGTTTCGGAATGAATCCAAATTTCGAACGAATTCAATGATTAGCCTAATCATAAACTGAGCCTTTACTTCATTCCTGAATGAATCAGCAGTTTGAACAATGAATGACGTACTGTATAAACACATTTACCGCCACCTGCTGGCAGTTTTAGTTTCTTATTTAGAACATTTAGTTTTGTTTTTTTTTTAAGATTTATTTTTGGAGTTTTATGCCTTTTATTTAGATAGGACAGTAGGTCGACAGGAAGCGAAGTGGGTGAGAGAGGGGGGTGGGATCGGGAAAGGTCCACAAGCTGGGACTCGAACTCGGGACGCCCGAAGCATAGATATGTGATTTTTTTTTTAAGCCACAGAATTGGTGTTACTCGTTGATATTTATTTTGTGCACAGGTGTCCATCTATGTGCATATGAATCCATGTTTATGAGAAGGGAGTGGCTAAATTAGGGCATAATCCTGACCTTAAATCACCAGGACTATTTAAACCCCCCTCTTCTCACATTAATTGGTTTTATTCCAGAATAGGCCCAGCGTGGTATGTCGGGGGAGGATTTGAGCATGGCATTATGGGGGCTCAAAGCCCCTCCCCTCCTGTTTCGTGCACACTTTTGTAACTGCGCTAACAGAGTGTGTGTGTGTGTGCAGTTTTAGACTAGAACATTTCATTTAAAAAGAAAATGAAAAAGACTGTTGGTAACTAAGCTGTTTTGGACTTTCGTTGTATGAACAAAAAAATACTGAGATGTTTCTCAAATGATCTCCTTTTATGTTCCATAGTTTATGTTAGGCCATTGTAGCCTAAACATTTGTGTAATACATTTTATGTTGAATCAAATAAAATATTGATTTCTAAAGCTACTATTTGTTATGTCTACTTGATACTTTCTCATTTAACACAATAATGGCTTTAAAGTGGGTAATTTCATAGCCAAATTTAATTTGCGATTAATTCGATTAATTAATCAACACATCATGTAATTAATTAGATTATAACTTTCAGTCGACTGACAGCCCTAATTTATATAATTAATTTGTTCATATTTTTTTTTAATATTTGCCCTGTGTTCATTTTGATGATCCAGAGTATTTGAGAACAGCCCAGAACACACATCCAAAAAGCCTGTAATTATTCTAGATCATAAAAGTATTACATTGTAATACTAATAAATACAAATACTAATAAAACTGTTTTATGTAGTTCATTATACACTATAAATTTGAAGCAGTACAGTAACATTTTAAATCAATATCAAATCAATTTTAAATAAAACATTTTTTTTATAGCCTTTCATTTCATTTTAGTTTTCTAATCTAGCTATTTAACTGTGACACTATGAATATTGTTTGCTCTATGATAGATTGCAATGAGAGTCTTTTTTCCCCCAAAAGTTTGGGTCAGTGAGGTTTTTTTTTGTTTTTGAAAAAAATATTGGGCTTCAATTGTCAAAAAACTGTAATATTGTGGGATATTACTCTTAAAATACTGTTTTCCATGTTAATATATTTTTTAAATGTAATTTATTCTTGTGATGACAAACTACATTTTCAGCATCATTACTCCAGTCTTCAGTGTCACATGATCCTTCAGAAATCATTCTAATATGCTGATTTGCTGCTGAAAACATGTGGCATTGATGTAGAAAACATGAATAAAAAGTTGCACTGCTTAATATTTTTGTGGAAACCATGATAAAAAGGCTTTCAGGATTCTTTTGACTTTCTAAAAAAATACAACATTATTTATGGTCTTTTATTCAGCAAGTTTTACTGTAATATTTCAGTGTGAAGGAAATTTATGAATGCATTTTTTAATGCCGTTTACAGGATCCTTATATGCTCAGAGGTCTGCAGCTGTTCCCACCGCTGTCACAGCCATGTTCCCAGGCCAGACCTCCACCCTCAGTCCCAGAATCCCCTCTTCCTCCTCCTCTTCCTCCTCAAAGGGCCCTGACTCCGTGGAGCTGGCCACAGGAGGGTCACCCTAATGGTCATCAGCTCCCTGAACCAAACAGCCAGTCAGTCCAACCCAAACTACAGTCTTTCCTCGGAGCAGCGGGAGCCGTTCTGCCCTCTAGAGGCGACAGAGCAAATCCCAGTCTGCCTCCCGCACAAACCACAGCTGTGTTTTCCTTCCAGTGAAGGGAGGACCACACACATACACTTTTACAAACTCATCAGCTATTGAAGCTCATCACGGACCCCACCTGCTCTTTTCTCCAAGATGTTTTCTCAGGACTGAGAAGGTTTTTAGAGATGTTTGATTCAACAGAATACCTCAGCTGTCTTAATCTCAGTGCTGTCGTGAGTGGAAACACTTCGGTGATCGTGTAATCATGCCTTTCCGCACCCACAATCATTCACTCACAGAGATGTGTGAAGCAATCATGGCATGATCAAATCGTCTTCTGCCAAAGTCACATTTGTGAGGTTGTGGTTGTGTTTGACACTTTTTTTTCCCCCCTCTTTTTTTGCTGTCTATTAATTCTCTTATTTAAAGTTTGCTGAATTTACCTCATCTGCAGTGAATTTAAAAGACTCAGGATCGATTATGATATTGCTGTGTTGCTCTTTGTCTAATTTGATGGAGTTTAAAACGCGTTACAATCCCCATCAAGTGTTGCAAAGTTGGTTTGGTAAGAAAAGGGGTCACAGATATTTTTCCTTTTTAAAAAATTATTTACTTGATTTTATTGTTTCCTATTTCCATTGTTTTTTAGCTTCTAGATACAGAAATATTAATATGATATGAAAAGAGTTTTGAGTTTGAAACTGCATTTTACACAGCGGAGAGGTTTTGTTTTTTTTTGTTCTTATTTAGACATATTTACAGGCAACAGTTTGGTTGAAAGATTTTTCTCTACCTCAGACACAAGACAATGTATGGTTGAAAAGAAATGATGTGGACACGCGTGATTTGTGTCGCACGTGTCAATCATTTCAGTGCGTTGGACGATCATGTACAGGCTCGTAAATATAAGAGCCTCGATTAATATACTATTCTTCTGCTCTGCTGCGCATACGAGTTCTTTAAAACAAACCAGGTCACGGAAAAGCAGGATAACATTCAAATCAAAGGAAGATTGGATGTTTTTTTTTATTTTGTATTTTTAATTGTTGAACTTCAGACCTCACGTATCTTTCCATATTGGAAAGCGAGTTTCTCAGGAATTTCTTAATTTTTTTTTCTTCATAAAATTTTTACTTCAGAACCTAGATGCAGTCTCGCTCCTGAAACGAATGACACTAGATATAACTCGGTCAGTGTGGGACTGAAATAGCTACCTCAGTCAGGATTTAGCTCGGATGTAGTTCAACTGCCTGCAGTACGTCACTGATGTACTGCTGTCTTTTAATGCAAAAAGTCTCTCTGGTAATGAATTAGCGAGATACCTCCGTGAAAGGCAGAACAACGTTAATACAAGTGCGAGATGAGATTATTGTTTGAAGAGTTTGATGCAGTATCTCATATCCATGAAGTATTGATTATCGCATGTCAAACTGACTTCCTGTACTTCCAATACACTTCCAGTAGCAATCGAGGCTTGTTGGCTGGTTGTGTTCACATACTCGTGCTGATTTAGCCTCGTCAGCTATTAGCTTTACATTTTGGCCGTTTAGAATCCTGCATTTGCTTGACCCTGGGACCTGCTGGGATACAGACACTTTTAATTTTTTCTGTTTTCATTTCTATATTCTTCAGGTAACGGCATAGCTGAAAACCAAAGACCATGTGTTTCTTATCCTCTTTGATGACCTCACTGTATAGACACATGCAACTTTACACAATGAAATTAAAGTCTGATCTGATGCAAGATTTTTTCGTTTTGTTTTTCTTCATCTGTGTGTGAAATATGACTTTTTTTTTTACTTAACTGTAAAGTTGATTGTATTCCTTCATCATGGTCAAATTTGTTTTATTGTTTATTTAAAGCTGCAGCCCGTAAGTTTTGCCTCTTTGTCGCCATCTCTGTTTGAAAACCTGGAATTGCAGCACTGTGCGGAATTATCTAGCTTGCGTGGGTTGTGAGTCGGCCAGCGCGGATGAATCTAATGTTCTGAAGAGTATGTGTGTGTGTGTGGCAGTCAGTCACCGCACCGGTGTGGATATTTACTGTACTTCGCAATCACAGATTCTAGCCTACATCTTGGAATATGACCCAAATAAGAATTTTCACTGTATATTGCCATCTGAACAAGGGGGCTTGAAATGTGACACCATGGGTGGTTTTGCCAGGGTTATTATTGTAACAAAATGTATATGTATATCAGTTGCCACAGAAACAGTAATCATCTCAGTTCTCACTACTTTAAGTAATAAAATAAATAAAACTTAAATTTAAAAAGACTTTTTAAAAAACTAATATAGTGAAATTTTTTTTATATAAAAATAACTTTCAAAATAAAAAACTATAAAGTCCAAAAAAAAAAAAAAATTATGCAGTTCATGTCTTAAATAAAAGCAAATTATCCTCCCTTTGAACTGGTTTTCTTTCAAATACAAATCTTTGTAATCCCAGGCTATCTGTAATCAGAAGCACATTTATAACTGGAATATAATTTAATTTCATTCACATGTTTCATAAACACAGTCCTTTTTGGATTACAATCCGCCATCAAAATGATACATTTAATTACTCCAGCTGCTATGAGAAAAGGCTATAAACGATCCTCCACCTGCAGGATCCTCACATGCGATAGCCTAGTAGCCGGGACAACTTCTTTATGTTTACAGAAGTGACGTAATGACGCAGTGCCATGCTACCCGTACCACTCAAATTAGAAAACATTATTATAAGCTAACCGTTGTGAATCGGGCTAAAGTAAGGCGATGGTTTTGAACACTGGCTGGTTATGTACTTGCTCAAATATTGATTTTGGATCATTTTTAACCAAAAAAGTTACGGACTGCAGTTTTAAATGTAAAAGTCACTTTTACCCCAATTTTTTGTTATACAGTGTTAATATATATACGCTATACAAGCAAATATAATTTTAAATAAAATAAAAAAATGTAATCAATTAATATATATATATATATATATATATATATATATATATATATATATAGTTTTGGGGGGCTTGAAATGTGACACCATGGGTGGTTTTGCCAGGGTTATTATTGTAACAAAATGTATATGTATATCAGTTGCCACAGAAACAGTAATCATCTCAGTTCTCACTACTTTAAGTAATAAAATAAATAAAACTTAAATTTAAAAAGACTTTTTAAAAAACTAATATAGTGAAATTTTTTTTATATAAAAATAACTTTCAAAATAAAAAACTATAAAGTCCAAAAAAAAAAAAAATTATGCAGTTCATGTCTTAAAACACCAAGAGGCAGTACATCAATCATTTGCTTTCGAAATCAGACAGTTATGTCCACACCTTAATCTAATTGAATCTGATTTTGTAAATCTGCCTTCATAATCCTTAAAGTCTTTGATGAGAGGAAGCGCATGTAATATTGAAATGCATGCATATTTACTTCTGTATCTGCTTAAAACAGCAATTCACATTAACAGTAGAGATTTTGATTACGTGCAGAACTCGCAGTGGATGTGACAGATGCTGTTTTGTGGGGGTGGAGGAATGGGATTGTTCTGTTGATGCCCTTTTAATAGGCACAGTGTGGGACACATGGCATAGTTGTCCTTGACCCATCACCAGTAGAGTGTCTCTTCTCGCCATCTCTGGTGTGTCCCGCCCCTGTCCTGAGCAGGACCACCCTCTAAACTCATCTCAGTCTCTCACCAAGGGAGGCAGTGGAGAGGATTACTACCCTGGACATAATCAAAAGACAGATGTAGTAGAGGAAAGATCACAAGAGGAGAATCAATGGGATTTTGTTTAGACTCGATGACGATTTGGATTTTAATTATATAGAAAAATTCTTCTGACAACTTGATGGATGGTATTACACAGTTGGTCTTGCTGCTTTGCTTTGGGAAACTGGTTGAGGACCATCTTAAAGCATTTTGACGAAAGAAAGACTCAAAGCCAGTTGTGACTTCTAGGTAAGAAAGCACACAAGTGTCCAGTAGAACATTTGAAAGAAACAAGTTGTTCAACCCTAGAGATGCATACAGATGAGAGATCCTGCTTCAACTAGTGGAGTTCAGCTTCACAGTTCTGAAATTACCTCTTTGGAAATACATGTTACTTCAGAAGGTAAAGATTAAGTGAGAGCTGTGGTGTTCCTTGGTCATCATGCCTACTGAGGAGGAGGAGAACTCTGGGCAACCTGTGTGGCAATCCGTCCTGCTGTTTAGTTGTAAGGGAATGATCGAGGGAATCATTGTCCTCTTGTTTCTCTGGCTGCTGATGCAGGTGCTCTTCACAAAACAGCATGAAGGTATGGTATCTAACCTACATGCACACTTAAGACGTGTTTGTCAGGCAAGTAGTAGACAAGTTGTCTATTCAGTGCGAGATTTCAGATATACTGTAAGTACTGCAGTTCACATCTGGATTTGACTGTTCTGTTACTGAACACTGACTTTATGCAGATTAAATTGTTTCCTTTGTTTGCGGATTACGACTTAGCAGTTGTTCTGACATTTGGAATGATGGTTACAGATTAAAATGCTGTTCTAACCCTCCTCTGTCTCTTCAGTCCACTTGCAGATTCTGCTGAGTGTGGGTTTGGTGGTCCTGTGTTTTTCCCTTATCTTGGGCTGCATCATTTGTTGGTTAAAGACCAGACACAAACCACCCGAAGACAAAAACCCTCCTCCTGATTCTGTGGATCATGTGACTGTGGCTTTGAGTCCTGCCCCTTTATCTGGAACCACATTTACCAAATTGCAGTGTGAGGAGCTGGAAGGATCCATTCAAGACTATCCATCTGCTTTCGAGAGCTCTACACCATCAGATGAAGAGTTGACTGCTGTCTCTGAGGTTAACAAGTCATGCTTCCAAATGAGACGACTCAGTTCACCATCAGTCTCCTCTTCTCTATTCAAGCCCATGGCCAGTGGCCGCTCCTCTCTCCCCTCTTTCCCAAGACTTGGTCTTCTCACAAAGACCCGGAAGGTTCTGGAACATCACTGCACTGTGGCTGGAGATAGTTACTCGTTTAGTGAACACAGAAGGCTCACTATTCCCAACCCACGATCACCCTGTGCCCTTTCTCCACTTCAAACCCAAGGTCTTCTACAGGACGAACCTTTAATTCCTAACTATGGTTCAAATTCTTGCAGTGAGACCTCAGATCCCTTCTTGCACTTTACCCTGACCTTCTCTTCAACACAGAACACACTCACTGTATCAATAGTGGGTATAACCGGTGCAGTCCATTGTCTAGAAGAAGTGACTGTCCAGGCCAAGCTGCCCCCACTTTGCCCTGGACCTCTGGATATAACTGCCCAGGATTACAACCTAAGCTCTGGACTCTATAAAAAGAACTTGGTGATCAATGTTGGATCTCTAGAGGGGCTTAAGGGCTGCATGCTCAGACTGGCTATCTTCATGCAGGACAATCAAAAGACATCCCTATTTGAGGAGCTGGAAGTTTGCTGTGGTAGTCTGGACTGGACACCAGACAGGCCTGTAAGCTGCATTAGAGAACTAAGGCAAGTCGTGGACAAGTCCAAGAAGGACACTTCATAGCTCTTGCTACGAGACTATACTGTCTTAAACACGAACCCAAACATTTCAAAGACCTACACCTCGTGTTCTCTTTCAAAGGACAAAAGTGGTTAATTTTTTTATTCAACATGCTCAACTTTGATTGGATATGGACATTGATGTCCCTCTCAGAATATGACCTCCCAAGAATCAGAAAGAGGTCACAAGGTCTTTGGTCAGCTCTTCATCTTGTTGCAGTACCAGACTGTGGTTCATTGGCTGAAAGTCCTCATCCTGAAAGCAATCTTACCAACCAGACTCCAGGTGAGATTAAAATACACTGTTCTCACCCTCTCCCAAATGGTACCCTTGCCCTAATATCAGTTGGACTGATAGCTATACAAGTTTATAGATCATGTTGACCACTCTGAAGTCCAGAACAGTGGAACTCTCAAAAGGGGAATTGAGAGCACTCAAAAGCACCATTCTGAACCCTAAAACAGGTCTCATCAACTCCAACCCTGGAGGGCCAGAGCTGAGCTCTAACCCTAACCAAACACTCCCAAACAAGTTAATCAAAGTATTGAGAACTACTTGCAAATAACAACAGGGAGTTAAACTGGGATTTATACTAAAGTCTACACTGCCCCAGGACTGCAGCTGAAGAGTCTTCTCTCTGAAGAGTCTTCCCTAAAATTATAAACAGGATACCCTACTATGGGGGTATCCAAACCTGTAACAGAGGCCAGCTGGTAAGAGCTGTGCAGGTAAACCTAACTGCCCTAAACTCAAGAGGCGCACTAGAGGCTGTGGTCTTTAACAACCTTGTCAATGCGCTCGCCTCCCATGCCAGTGACTCGGGTCCGAGTCTCACTTGGTGTGGAGTGGTTAGGCCGGAGGGGTTGCTCATGGAGGCCTATCATCCTGCAGAGTTTAACTACAACCCCAATCAAACACACCTAAACCAGTTAATCAAGGTGTTTGGGATTACTTGAAAATAACATTCAGGTGGGTTTGAACCGGGTTGGAACTGAAGTTTCCAGAAGGTAGCCCTCCAGGAGCTGGATTTGTTACCTCTGCCCAGACTCGCAGTCATTTTCTGCCCCCGAATGGAAATTCTAAATCATTTTATTATTCAGAAGGGTGCTCACAAGCTAGTATATAACATCAGTGTCCCCTTTCTCCACGGCCATACTGGTGCAGACTTCAAAGTAGACTTCTACCTGGCATTTTTTGTAAATCATATGACCCAAATGTGGACTTGGAGGAGGACTGTTAGAAATGAGGGTGGCATTTAGGACAGGGCAATTAATAGGCAAAGATCCATACACATTGATTGAGTGGGGCCAAAAAGATGACAAGGTGAGCACATCTGTGTTTCATGACTTGACAGAGGTGGCATGAATTTATTGTGTGATCGGAGATTGGAGTTCATACTCAATCTCTATCTCACAAAATACACTGCATTCACCTTCCTGTCTTAAATTCTACATTAACCAAATTTCACACAAAAAATTACACAAAGCTTAAAATGTCAAGAGGTGCCATATTGTCCACATACAATGCAAAATAGTTCCCAGAAAACTGTTTAATGTCCTGGGAGTGCAGGAAAGCATATTGCACCTCAAATCCCTCCTATCAGATAAATGAATACATTTGTCATGATATGACAGCACGTCTGCCATATGCATACGGCAGGTCCAGCTTACATGACTCTTATGTAAAAGCAAGAGGATTTATCCATCATAAACTAAGCCTAAATGTTTGCTTTTAGTGTTTAGGATTAAACGCTTGTCTTACGAGAGCCAAGATCCACAGGAGATCAGCCTATTTTAATGACATTGTAGTTTAATCCCCCTCCATCTTCAATCCTTCAGACGACAGTCCGATCCCTTTCATTTCAGACCTGCTCAAACCTCAGCAATGGGTGGTCACAGCCATGAGGTCAATTACTTGTACAGCATTCATCTCCATAGATAACACATATGAAATCTCATAGTGTTACATGTGTTGTGTGACTACATATTAGCACTGGTTTTGATATCCAAGTATAGAGAATCATGGACATGTACATGTTTTTAATATACTACATGTTGACATAATAATCTGGCAATTTTTTCCTTATAATGCATATTTTATTGAATATTTCATCTTTTTCTTTTGGCAGAGATGCACCTGCTCATTGTCACTAAGGCAGGTTCTTGTTGGTTTTTAGGCCAATGAAGAGGGATAGATTTACTGTGTAGCACAATTCAAACAGAAATTGTGCTGTGCAACATCATGTTTTTTAACCATAAGTGCTAAATGAAAAGCTGACAAGACCTCAAGTCTGACCCAACCATGGACAGATATTAATGACCTTTATTATACTGGCATTCTGTATCCTATTTTAGAAGACATGTTTGACTGAATATCTTTAAATATCTTGAACTAAATAATATAATTAATTATTATTATGTTACTGTTGTATGTATTAGTGAAATTCAAGACAATAAAAAGTCAGTATATATGGAACAATTAGATAATTGCAAAGATTAATAAATATAGTCTGTTTCATATGACATGTTGTTTTTTTTTGTGTGTGCGTAATTTAAATTTACCTCAAAGTTGTTTCAAACACTTGGAAGCAAAACAACAATACTGAAAATCTGGCAACATGCTTATGAAAATTAGTTTTATTTTTAATAGCTGTACTGTGTAATTCATAATAAATGGCGATTAATAAAGAAACTGCCAGTGCAGTATGAATTTTCATCACTCCAGACGCTGGCTCCCCTCTCCTCTTCAAATGGACCCTTCCGTATCTTCCAAATCTGAGCCACAAACCTCAACCTGCCTTGCAAGGAATGTTCCATCACTGCAGCCCAGGGGAAATTTATCCTGTTGTAAGTTTGGTTGAGGAGATATTACTTTGGCTGGACCAGCAAGACAGAAAATAAACATAATTACACCACAATAAATGAATGATAGCGTTCTGCGAAACTAAAATAATAGGACCCCACACAAATGTCCAAAAGTTGAACAATCAAATTGGCCTGATTTTTCCATATATGATTGGACTGGTCACACTTTTCACCTTCAAGCAGATTTTCATTTCTCTCTTTTAGATTTCCCATTGCATCTCTCACTGCTGACATCTGCGAGGGAAGTAAGTGTGGGACATTTCAATGCTTTTTTTTCAGGGTTCACTGATTTTAATATCGCACCACAGCACTAAAGCTGTTTATCCCATTGTACTTCTATTTTAAGTGCTGTACGGATAAAACAACTACACAACATTTGGAATTTCATTCAATACAGGGTTTCTGATGTGTTTTATCCCTGCTTCTGACCACATCTCTGCAGACGCCCTCTTGCAACCCTAAAAGCTGCTTATGTGCCCCTTCATCCCAGCATGCTCTTCGATTACGACAAAATGTGAGATCAGGACACTCCGATTAGAGTCTAAAACCTGATGTGCTTATGCATGGAGTTGTTTTGTTTCTAAAACTTCCCTCTCTGAGATATCACAGATTTAGAAACAGAACAACAATTCCATCAAGTATCTTATTAAAATATGACTGGTAGGGCAGGTTTTGTTTGTATGTTTTTACTATAATCATCATCATAACCTACCTTGGTTGTCTTGCTTGATTAATAATGTGCCCATTCAGTGTGTCTGACCATCCATTTCATGGGCTCACTTACTGATTTCTCCACAGATTTTCAGTTAGGAACAGGAGGAGGGGGAGGGGAGAATGATGGAGCCTCTGAGTCTGGAATTTCCCCACAGTCTCATTTTTATATAAGAAGAAGTGGAAATAAACCCACCTTGGGGGGAAGATTATGAATCAAACTGACTGACAACTGACAGAGTGTTTATGCTGCTCTACTGACCTCTCTCCACGCTGCTCTCTCTCTCTGAACAGACTTTTCAGCTGTAGCACAGAAAGGAGACACAAACAAGCACAGACAGGAAGTAAATACTATAACACTTTTTCTGATGAAGTGTTTAGGAGTTTTACTGTGGACACGGTGCAGCACCTGCTCGGTGACCTGCCTCCTCTGTTGGTTTGGATCTACAAGGTCCGAACCCGCGGGTTTCTGTTTTTTAGTCTCTAATGGAGATTCTTTCTCTGTTTTGTCCTACGGAATGAAATGTCAATGAATAAACACACTAACACACATGTGCAAACAAACATCAGTCCGTACCTGCTGGGGAGGTTCAAGATCCTGCCGTTTTTGTAAAGTTCGGTCTCTTTCCTGCTCAAGCGTTTCTGCTCGCCTTCTGCTTTCTGGAGCCAAAACATAAAAACCAAGTACGTTGCAGGAAGATACTCATGAATGCTTAGCTAACACATTCCTGTTGTACAAAATGTGCATTCTTCAGTTATTTTGGCAGGAACATTTCTCCAGTACACAAGGGGGCGATGGAGTCACCTACAAACTGCTGTGCTTTTAAAGTCCGCGTGAACCGGAAGTTGCTGCCAACTTAATTTCAGTGTAGTGACCTATTTCCAGCTGAAACGGAATATTGAATAGAGGGCATGGTTTTATGTTTGCGCTCCTCCTCTCTGTCTCTCACTCATACTGTAGCAATCTTACGGTTGAAGGGGTGTGTTTAAGGATATTCTGCCCAAGCCGTCAAACTGACGTCATCAGAAAAGGAATGCCATTCCATAGAGGAAGCAAATGACCAGATTTTGTTTAAAGATTACCAAAACAAAAAAAAATTTTCAGCAGATTAACTTGCACGGATTAATTGTTTACATCAAGACTAGCAATGTGCGCTAGTAAAGTAAATAAAGTCAATTTTGATTTCATGCGGATTGCTTTAAGCAGTATTCAGGTAGCAAGCTATACACAGGTCGACAGTTTCAATTTATTTTAGTTTCAAACTACTCTGCCACCTTTACAGCAGATGCTAATGCTAATATGCTACAGAGCGCCTTCTAGTGTAAACGTTACACCTACTTGCACTGTGTTTTAAACACACTTCGGAACACAACAACATGTAAAATCGAGCTGGTATATCTAGGAGCTTTTGTGTTCTATTAATTATGATACATTTTTGGCCTTCACTCAATCTTAGCATGAGGAAATACCTTCTAGCAGGGCCTTCAGTGACTCAGGACTGCATTCATTGACCACTTCCTTTCTCGACAGCAGACCTTTGTGTCCAAAAATCTGCCCGAGGTAAGAGGCACAAAGACGTGTGATACTGAAACCTCGTCAGATTAATCTGTTCTGCCGTGAGAAAGATTTAACGTCATGGCTGTCGTTGTACCTCCTGCTCCAGGGCAGATATCTTGATCTGAGCCTCTGCTTTCTGTGTTATCCTCTGTATCTCCAGGTTCTTCAGATCTTGATCCCTGTGGTAGAAAGAGAAAAAGAGCTGATGACAAGAACCTGTCATATAGTTTATTGTTCCATAAAGGAACAATAAGCGGCTGCTTCCTGTTTTACTAGTTTTTGATAGCACTGCATGGTCACACTCATGACCGTTAAACCCCCAACTGGAAATAAATGGTCTTAAACGATCTGAATTGTGCAACTTAAGGTCCTTAAACAGTCACATACATCATTCATTCAAATATGGCCATAACTATAAATTTATGTTAGCACTGGTTATGTTGATATAAAATATATATATATATATATATATAGTGTACAGATAAACATGGCATAAATATATTGCTAATATATTTTAAAATATATTTACAAAATACATATTTTTACTTATAATTGCTCATTTATATATGGGACATATATTGTATTATATTATATTATATTATATTATATTATCAATCTAATCTTTCTTGGTTAAATAAACATTACTTACACTATCAGAAAATTTTATTTTATATTTTTACATTAACAATGTAATCAATATTCTATTTATTAAAGCCAAGTATGAATCTCATCAAGTTTGAACACAGGAATATATTATTTTATATATATAAAATATATTCAAATAGAAAGCAGTTATTTTAAATAGTAAAAATATTTCACAATATTAATGCTCTTGCTGTATTTTGGATCAAATAAATGCAGGCTTAATGAGCAGAAGAGAATTATGTAAAAAAGTTCTTCTACTGTGCTCCAGGGGGCCCTACAGGATTTTCTGTGGTAAGGGATAAAATGGATGTAGGCAGCAGAGTAAGAGATACCAGAATTACAACTCCGCAATCTCAATTTTCACTGATGGTTCCAAAGATCACGAGACAGGACGAGCATCAGCAGCTGTATTCCTCTAAGTACCGTCTGAAGTTCTCTTCTAAAATGAGCATTTTTATCAGGCTCCCATATTTGTTCAGTTATTTCACTTTAATGGCATAGAAAAGGACCTATACATTGCAATTAGAGTAAAATTACTGAACCTAAACATAGGAGCCTGATGAAAATGCTCATTTTAGAAAACAAATGTCAGATGGCACTTAGAGGCTTTTGCACCTGAACTCTTCATATATATATATATATATATATATCAACTTTTGATTGGTAGTGCATTTTTTCCCTTTCATTTTTTCCCTTTAATTCCCCACATACCGAGCATATATTTGAAATATGCATTTTGGTCAGAAAATAAACGTTTAATATTACATATAATTTAAATCATATAAACACGTGTTTTTTTCATACGGGAATGATTATGAGTAAAATATACATACTTTTCTTTAATTTCCTGATCTCTCTTTGCAAGAAGCTGCTCCAACCTCTGGACCTCATCGCTCTGTTGTGACTCCTGCACAAGAAAAATCATATCTCTGTTATCGCATCAGTCAACCAAGATGACACAGATCTCTGTCAGGTTTGCAGGTCCCACCTGATGGTGAGCAGACTGCAGCTCCTGGAGCTGTTCCTCCAGCTCAGTGTCTCTGATTTTCAGCATGTCCCTCACCTTCAGCAGCTCCGCCTTCACCTGCACCAACTCTCCATCCACGACTTCAAGAGACACCTTGGACATGACATTTTTAACATTGGGAGGTTAAAAAACAGTTTGACCTACAAGTTGACATTGTGACCAAACAGCTCTTTAAATGCATATTATATATTTATTCACGAGGGACTTTTTTGACTTAGAACAAAGGACATACAGAGCTACCCGTGAGTCTCTGCTGCACTTGGCTTTGGTCCCTCTCAGGCTCTATCTGTTGCGAAACTTCAGGCTCTCGCTGTAAGTCAGAGTAAAGATATACTGACATAAAACACAGCAACACTACACTTGACAAATGGTCACATTAGACCAATGAAAGGAAACAAAAAATGAAAACAAAAGTTACGTTGTCATTCACTCGCTGTTGACTCTTGAGCTCATCGAGTTCTGCTTGTGTCGAGCATAACGTCATCGCCACATCCAGCCACCTCTCATTCCAGTGAGCAGCCAGTTTCCTCAACTCCTCCTTTTCCTGCTCAAGCTCCGCCCTCATTTGATGTTGCTCCTCCTCTTTATGCTTATACCCCGCCTCCGAGATTTTGACTTTTTTTTCCAGGTCTTGACATTTTAATTGCAGAGTCTGATTTTCTTGTTCTAGATTGTCCTGCAATTCTCTGTATATATGGAATTAATAACCTGGATCAGAGCCAAAAAAATCTGTACAGTCAATATTAATAATCATTTCCAAGCAACACTGAAGTTAGATAATGGACAGAGTTGTCCGACCTGTGCTGGCAGCATCTCTCTCCCAGCTCTATCATCTTCTCATGAAGTCCATCATCAAATGTTTTCCTCAGTTCCTCTTTCTCTCCTATCAGCTGCAAGCGCTCAGTCTCCAGTGCCGCAATCTGATTGGTTTGGATCAGTTTCTCTGCCTCCAGCTCGTGTAGCTGGTTAAGAATCACCTGTAGTCTCTCTGTAGCTTTGGTCAGATCAGATGACAGCTTTTCGTTCAACTGAAATTCCAAAGTATTCAGAAAAGGGTTGTTCAGAACAATTCAGAACAAACTAAAAAAAATGAAAGGGTTTTAATGAAAGCCAATCAAATTGCTTAACATTTTTTTGATTATATAATATATATAATATTAATGTTATTATTTTCTAATGCTATTATTTTAAACAGTCTTTAAAATAATAGAATTTCACCTGATATATAATATAATAAAATATATCTGGCAGAGATCATCTGGAAAAGTCAGATCAAACATTCAAAATATTAGCATTAAAAAAATGAGAGCATTATTTATTTTTGAAAGATGTCTCATGCTCACCAAGGCTGCATTTATTTAATTAAAAGTATAGAAAAAAACGGTAATATTGTGAAACATTATTACCGGTACATTAAAAACCGTTTTCAATGTTATTATATTTTAAAATGTAATTTATTCCTGTAATGGTAAAAATTCAGCATCATTACTCCAGTCTTCAGTGTCACACAAATCAGAAATCATTCTAATATGCTGATTTGCTGCTCAAAAACATTTATTATTATGATCAATGGTGAAAACGGTTGTACTGCTTAATATTTCTGTGGAAACTGCAAAAGACAGCATTTATTTTAAATGGATTTTTTCAGTTGCATTAATTGGGTTTTTACTCTCACTTTGGATCAATTTAATCTGTCCTTAATGAATACAAATATTAATTTATTTCATAAAAGAACCCCAAATTTACGAATGGTGGCATATTTTTGTACACAGATTTGGAAAAGAGTGACCTCTGACCTCTTTAATGGAAAGCAGCTCCTCCTTCATCAACATGGTTTCCCTCTTCTGTTTGTTGGTCTGGCTCTTAGCTTGAGACAGCTCAGAATGGAGCTCACACACCTGCTCAGTGAAGCCCTGTTTGCTCCTCTGCTCCCTCTGCAACTGCAGATCCAAAGCCTGGATCCTCTGATGGAGCTCTGCGTTCTCCTTTACAGACATAGACAGAAAGGTCAGCGTTTATACCATATCACATCTAAAACAGTGCTTCTGAACTGGAGGACTGCGACCCAGAAAAGGTCAAGGACAGCAGGGGCAATCAATGCTAAAAGCAAGTAGTACAATGTGTTCTATAAATACAATTTTGTCTGATAAAACTGTTGATATTGTGTTAGGTCATAGCTTAATATGAAATGTGATGTCAGACCTGGACAAGACAGTCTTTGTCCATTAAAGCTCCGGATAGTTTGACCTTTAAGTCATTCAGATTGTCTTCTAGTCTCCGGGTTTTAGTGGAAAACACGTCTTTTTCCTAATGAAAGGAGATAATAGTTTTTTCTGGCAGTAATGGATGTAATAATGAAAGATTAGAGAGTGTAGCACAGTTTTTTTGCTCATACCATCTCCATTTGTCCCAGACGGCTGCGGGACTCATTCAGCTGGTCCTCTAGCTCTTTCTGGGTCTGGATGGAGCTGCTCAGTCTTTGTTCCAACTCTTCTGCTTGGTTAATTGCCTCATGTTTCCTCTGTGTAAATGTATGCACACTTTTTGAATCTAAACTTAGCAAAATCTCAGCTTAATTTTTGTGCATTAAATGTAACTTTAATCACAATGAGTAAACTTTTAAAGGAACAGCTCACCCCAAAATTTTAATTCTGCCATCGATTACTTATTTTCTATGTTGTTCCAAACGTGTATGACTTTCATTCTTCTGTAGAACACAAAAGAAAATTTTTGAAGAATGTTTGGTAACACTTTACGTATTATGCCTTTATGTATAATGCATTATAAATGTAGTTTTAATGCAATACCTTATAATGCATTGTACAGTCTCATAAATAATTATAACCACAGTTAATACATTATAACACTTATCAATTCATTGTTACACTACACATTTTAAATTAGGTTATAATTATTTACGACAAGATATAATGTATTACAACGAATAATCATAATGCATTATAGCCTTTAATAACCATTTATAATGCATTGTACATAAAGGCTTTACGTAAAGTGTTACCGATTGTTTTTCTTGTCTTAAAAGTTATTTTAGTATTATTAACTATATTTATTTTTATGTTTTCATTTTAATTCTAGGTTGTTATTTTAGTAATTTTGTTGTGTTTTTGTCATTCTTATTAGTATTTTTTATATTGCTATTCTGTATTATTATTTTAGCTTTAAATGTTTATTTCCACTTTTAGTGCTTCAATTTAAACTTATTTCAGTTAGTTGCCAAGGCAACAGTTCTAATTTTCATTTAGTTTATAGTTTGTATTTTACTTTATTACTTTTTATATCTTTTTTAATAATTTTAGTTATAGTTGACAGTAATAGCCTCGTTTTTGGACCCTTCCTTTGACTTCCACTGTATAGACTCATTCAAAATCTTCTTTTGCGTTTCATGTAAGAAAGTCATAGAGGTTTGAACAAACATGAAGGTGAGTAAATAAATAATGACAAAATGTTCATTTTTTCAGTGTTTAACCTCTTCAGAGGAGTGGAGCTGTCTCAGTGCGCTGTCTTTCTCATACTCTACGTCTTCTGTTCTCTCCTCTTCTTTTCTGAGAGCTTCTCTGAGCTTCTTTATCTCTTTCTCAACCTGCCTCTGTCCCTGGTGGAAGCAGCAGCATGCAGTACAAAACCTTCTTAATAGACTGAAAGTATCAGAGATGAAGGTTTCTCACATACGTTTGCAGACATTTTTTGTCACACACACAGTGTGCTCTACCTCTCTGAGGATTTGGTCTTTTGCAGCGGGCAGAGTTCTGCTGAGAGGGTTTGGTGATGTGGGTGGACTTCTTCTCTCCAGGTTAGACCTCATCTTCAAAATGTCCAACTCAAGCTGCAGAACTCTTTGTTTACACGGAGTGAATCAACATATCAAATCAAGACAGAAATGAAATGTGTAAAAGTGTCTGTTTTGCTTTTTTCAAATGTTATGGATAATTTTTTCATTGTAAATTACATTGTTGACACAATTTGAGCACAATAATAATTCAAAATGAGCATTCATTTCTGATTCGTAGTATTTGGTTTGCTCCTGATCTCCAGTCTGATTTGAGTTGATCCAAATAGCATCTTATGCTTCAATGGATGCAAGAATATCTGATCATCTGTACAAAGGTGTCACATGATGAATAGCAAAAATGTGTGACTTAGAAATAGTGCAAAATTCTCAATATTTATTTGCATTAAACAAAATGTAAAGAAATCTTTTTAAAAATGTGTTTATTTTCAGGGGAAAGAAATAGAGTGATATTAGACTTTTGGACCCCACTGTATGATACCATTCAAAGATTTGGGGTCAGTAAGATTTTTTTCTTAAAGAAATTAATACTTTTATCCAGCAAAGACGCCTTCAACAGTTCAAAGTGACACTATTTATAATGTTACATTATCAGTATAGGGCCGCCCAGGGCCCCAGCTCTCTTAAGAGCAGGTCCATCGGTTGCACCGCCGATGGGACGGCCCTTTAACTGTACATCTGTCTATTTTTTTGGGGGGGGGGGAAGTCGTGGTCTAATGGTTAGAGTCGGACTCATAACCCAAAGGTTGCGGGTTCGAGTCTCATACCGGCAGGGATTGTAGGTGGGGGGAGTGAATGAACAGCGCTCTCTTCCACCTTCAATACCACGACTGAGGTGCCCTTGAGCAAGGCACCGTACCCCCAACTGCTCCGGGCGCAGCAGCATAAATGGCTGCCCACTGCTCCGGGTGTGTGTTCACGGTGTGTGTGTGTTCACTGCTGTGTGTGTGCACTTTGGATGGGTAAATGCAGAGCACTAATTCCGAGTATGGGTCACCATACTTGGCCACATGTCACGTCACTGTCACGGTCAATAGAGTTCTATTTTAAATAAATGCTGTTCTTTTGAAATTTCTGCTCAGCAAAGAATATTGAAAAAAAAGTGTCACGTTTCCACACAAAAAATATGAAGCAGCACAAAGGGTTTCAACAATAATAAGAAGAAATGTTTCTTTAACAGCACATTAGCATATTAAAATGATTTGTGAAGGATCACGTGACACTGAAGACTGGAGTAATGATGCTGAAAATTCAGCTTTGCATGACAGGAATAAATTACATTATAAAATATATTCAAATAGAAAACCTTTATTTTAAATCATAATAATATTTCAGAACATTGATGTTTTACTGTATTTTTGATCAAATAAATGAAGAAATGCAGCATTGGTGAGCATAAGAGACTTTTCCAAATACAAACCTTTTTACCGACGCCGAAACTTTTGAATGGTAATGTATGTATGCATAAATGAAATACTGTAAAGTTCTAAGTAGCAGTGTGTCCTTGCAAAAAATAAATTATTGTATGTTGATTAAATGTTAATTGTTAAAACTAACATTAATGTACTTGTCACATAGAGTATAGTCTCAGCCTCAGACGTCTCGCCCACGGAACGTTGGCTAAACGTCTGATGCATATGGCACACAAAAGTGGAAACACTTCAGGAGTTTCGAAGTCGTCGTCAGATTGGTTGAATTATACAGGATTTCCGGTAGACGTGCGTGTCACATTCTTTAACGTTCAACAAAGATGCCCCCTCACAAAAGAAGAAAGCCGTCGTGTTTACAACTGTGATGATGAGCGCTTATCAGGATCAACAAAATGCTGGATTTTCAAAAGTATGTGAAATATTTAAAGTTCGTGGCATAGAATCTTTAAAATACGTCAGAGAGTTTTACACACCGGTATGTTATTGTGGCGACATTTCCACGCCCCGAAATGTGACGATGAACAAAACGAACTGTGATTGGTTGTTTGACATGTCGGTCAAACGGCCTCATGGGTGGGCCTTGGCCAATGAAAGCTGTCATGAATTCCAGGTCTGGCTACGCGATACTACATAGATTATGGCCAATATAACTCACTTGTCATGTAATTCCCCTCGACGGCGGCGTTCCTCAAATCGGCTCAGCTCTGCAGCTTCCTTGTCTTGTTCAAGAGCACTCACTGCTTCAGACAGCTGCTGTGGGGGAGGAAGATCAACAGCGATGAGGGTTCCTTGTAAACAACAGCACACTTTGATATCCCTTTCCTGTTTACTGTCCCATCAAACTAAACCAATCGTAAAATTCTGTGTCTGCAGAGCTCAAACTGCTTCAACCGTACCTTGTGCTTCATCTCTAGGACGTTTGAGATGCTCTGGCTTTGTTGAAGCTGAGATCCTTTGGTTTTCAGAAGGTCTGTCTGAGCATCCAGGTGACCTCTGGCCTCTCGGAGCCTCTGGATGAGCTCTGCTCTCTTCATGCTGCTTTCCTCCAGAGCAGCACTGAGCTCAAAGTCTTCAGCAGAAGAGTGTGATCGCGGAGCTCCTTCTGGAGCCAGACGGGATGCAGATGACCATCTCGTCATGCCCAGGGAGCCCCTGTGGTTCTGGCTGCCAAGAGTGCTGGTTTAGAGACATGTCAATGTTTTTATCATTCATCAGCTGGAAAAAATTATTTTGAAAGTGATTCATCATTCCAGTGATATTGGTCCTCTGTGATATTATCATTGTGGTGTGTGGACTTCACTATTCTCATAGAATTAAAATGATTATTAAAACTTTATATTGTTATAATTTCCTTGAAATTCCTCACCTTCAGGCCATCCAAGATGTAGATGAGTTTGTTTCTTCATCAGAACAAATTTAGAAAAATGTTGCATTACATCACTTGCTCACCAATGGAGTGAATGGGTGCCATCAGAATGAGAGTCCAAGCAGCTGATAAAAACATCACAATAATCCACAAGTAATCCACACCACTCTAGTCCATCAATTAACATATTGTAAAGTGAAAAGATGCATGTTTGTAAAAAAACAAATTCATCATTAACTGGCCAAAATACCAGAATACCAAAATCCTTAATAACATTTCCTCCAGTGAAAAAGTCAATCCTCTGTTGTTCTCCTACATCAAAATCCACCCACATATTTGTTTAGAACTCTTTTCACTTGTAAACGGTGATTGATCTGTGCATATTTCTATCCTGCTTCAGACTAAACGATTTTTCCCTGGAGAAATTAATGTTATGAATAGAGGACTTGTATTTTAGTTAAAAACGTCTTAATGGTGGATTTGTTTCGTACAAACATGCACCTTTTCAATTCAAGACATTAACTGATGGACTGGAGTCGTGTGAATTACTCGTGGATTATTGTGATGTTTTTATCAGCTGTTTGGACTCTCATTCTGACGGCACCCATTCACTGCAGAGGATTCATTAGTGAGCAAGTGATGTAATGCTAAATTTCTTAAAATCTGTGAAGAAACAAACTCTACATTTTGGATGGCCTGAAGGTGAGTACATTTATTAGTACATTTTCATTTTTTAGGTGAACTATTCCTTCAAAGCACTAACCTGGTGCTGATTTTTGAGCGGTCAGTCAATCCAGATAAGCCTACACAACTCCATGCGGGAGATTTCTGAAAAGAAGCGTCATATTTGTTAAAATTTGGTAAAAGATTATTTTAAAAAAATAATTTGTTTTGATCCTCAGAGCTTCACTTTGTACATACCCGAGCTTTAAGAAGAGATCTACTATCCCAAAAGTCAAGATCTGAGAGAGCGAGGGGACTTTGAGACCTAAGAGTGCGCCAGAAAGATGTACGGCCCGGGTCAGCGTCCCATTCCTGCTCACTCCAGAATCCTGAAGGTGAAAGGCTTCTTCTTTCTCCTCTCCACTTGGCCATATCCAAAAGTGAGTTGAGATACTGTGTACTCAGCTGCAGATTGTCCTGCCCTTATACAAAACTATTTCACACGGACCAGACAGTTTGAACCTAGCATGCCAGAGTGGCACAACAACATGGAAACAATGTCTAATGTTTATTTGTTGCTAGAATCTTTTTAAACTTAGTTACTTGACAATCAAGCAGTATCTGTGGCAGAGGGGGCTTTGTAGCATTTGCTCTTTTATAATATGCATAATATTAAGAGTAAACATTCATAGTACTATTAATTGAGATAAATTTGTCACTAATGCTGTCTATTATTAATTTACAAGTACATAATCACCAAAACAATATAATGTACCTTTTGTATCCTTGGTGATAGCTGTTTTTCCTCCTTGTGTTTTGATTTCACACACACTCAGTACTTGACACTCAGTCAGTTTCCTTATTGAGCAGTCAGTGCTGTTGAACCAGAAGCCTTGGCAGCAGGTATCTATGGTGACTGTCACATACAGGACGCAGCCCACCTCTTCACTGAATAATCATTTTGTGAGCTCACGGGACTATTTCTGGAAGGTATGATTACAATGATGAAGATTTAACATGCACCTGCCAGAAGACAGTAACCAGTCAATAACAACAATGACATAAAATGTTCCATGACAATTAAAATAATCAATTTATTTTTATTTAGCTATTTCATTTTAATTTATCATTAATAATCATATATATACATTGATATATATATATATCATATATCAATATATATATAATATTATTCTCATTATTTAAAATGGTTTGAAATGACTTAAGGTCAGTGCATATTTAAAGTAAATGTATTTTTTGAAGTACAAGTGTACATTCCCATATGAATGTGGTAATATCGTGGTATATATCAAATGAGATAATTCCTTGTTTTGTGTGAAATAGTAATGTTGTTACAATATGCACTCATGACACAGTGAGTTGGTGTTAAGAAGAGAAAAGTTTTGAAGAGAGAGATCTGTTCCAGTGCTGGTTACGGACTACTATTAAAAGTTATGTAAGGTAATGTTGTCTACATAAGACATAACAGTTCTTTATCCCCCCCCATGTATTCATGTTTACAGCTTTTTAATTTAAACGAGTACATTTTAAATGTTCTTACCATGCTAACATGTTCCAAAAGAGTGATGATAACTGGCAAATATATCATCGTATTACTATTACTTGTGTTATTGATTCCTGGTAAGCTTTTAGTGGGATGTTTTTTCCCCTTGTTAATGGGACAATTTACAAAGTTCAAAATTAAAGTGTATATCTTCGTAACGTTGCAGACGTGCCAAGCCGGTCTGCGCATGCGTGACAGACATGTGGACGAAACGTAAATATAGGAACAGGAGGGAGTTTGACTCGTTTAAGCATCGCAGACATGTACAGAGGAATAATCCTGTGTTTCCGCGATCAGGGCACTTTAAACCCATTTCAAAGAGGAACGAGTTGTTTAATGCGTCGTGATACGTGAGAAGCGTCAGATCAGAGGATGATATAAAGAACTTCATTATAGACAACAGAAATAGTGAGCTCCCGAAGCTTAACCCCAGAGATTTCTTTAGGACTCTTCACCCCCATCTGCCGGTTCTGGACGGAGAAACCTGAATTATGGCCTTTCCCTGATCCGCACTGGGCAATATATCGGCCCGGTGGACAGGCGATGGCTAGGTAACAAATCATTAATAATATTAAACGCTACGGTAGATTTTAGGTTAGTTACTGTAAGATACGTTCAGTCTACCTGCGTTATTGTGTCGTTTTTATTAATGATGCAGTTCTGAGTGGACTGTTTTCTCAGGTATCTGTTCAATAACCCCGAGGTGTCTGGAGGCAGAAAGGTGCTAGTTCTCGGCTGTGATTGTGGAGCATCAGCCATTGCTGCCAAACTCACTGGAGCTTCCCGTGTTGTTGCCAATGACATTGATCCAAGTGAGACTTGTGTTCCTGCTGCACCTCATACCTGAAATAAGAATAACCGTGATTTGTACAATTCAACTTGACGAGTAAACTAAACGTCCTTATAGATCTACTTTCTTGCAGAGTTTATCAAAAACATGGTGGCCAAAATGATTAGAACATTAGTATTTTCACCAGCTAAAAATGGTTTTAAGTCAGTGAAGATCTATTTGACATTTTTTGACAGCATCCTCATTTTACAGCATTTTTACACAAGTGCCTAAAACTTTTAACCGACTACTGTTGCTATGCAGGTAGGTTTCTTGAAGCGTCTTCGAGACGTTGCCACAGTTCTTCTGGATTTAGTCCGTCTCAGTTTGTTCTGTTCCTTCATGTCATTCCAGACAGACTGATGATGATGATAAAATCAGATCTGGCTGTTGTCAGACAAAAATCTCACTGGATTATTACAATTAATGGCAAAATGAATGTTTGGAAATGTAAACTGATATTTCCTACGGATACACTACAGCAAAAGATTCAAATAACTGGCTTAAAACCATTTTTTAGCTGGTGATAATATTCACATTGATTATTTATAATCAATTTAATGTTTTTAACAAAAATAATTCATTTAAACATTGATTTAATAGAAAACTGTCCATTAAGGTGAAAAATACAAAAGAATACTTGTACTTTGAACACACATAAATGATGTGACACTTAATCATGAAATTTTCAAACACACAAATAATAATAATAAGATAAAATGTTTAAATAATAACATTTACATGGTTATAAGTGTCTTAAGCAGGGTTATTATAGTTAACTAAAACTAAACCCATAATAAAAGTGAAATGAAATAAAAGCTATATATAAAACCTTTTTATTTATAAAACTGATGTACCAAATTAAACTGCAACAAGAATAAATAAAAACTATCTAGACACGTATATAAAGAAACAAAAATTACCAAAAAATGCAACTAAATGACTAAAACATTAACTAAAATGAAAATGTAAAATATAAATTCAAAACTGATTTCATGTTGGTTACACCACACTGACTGACAAAGGTTTTATAATATTAAACATAAGTGCTTCGTTTTATTATTACAGTTGCTGCCATTGCCACAAAAATGAACTTTGAACTGAACAATCTGGACCCTGTGTGACAGACAACATGATCGGCTCAAAACCTGATGCCTGGGACCTCATTCTTCTCGGAGACATGTTCTATGATGATCTGGCTGATCGTCTGCATAAGTGGCTCCAGACATGCATAACCACACACGGAGCACAAGTGCTTATTGGTGACCTGGGATGGGCTCAATTTGAAAGCCATGACATCAGAAGATTATTACATAAACTGGCTCACTTTGAGCTGCCCGACTCGGTCAAAGAGGAGAACTACAGACTAACAAATAGCACAGTGTGGTGCTACAACTACAAACCTGATCTATAACAGCTAAAGCATTCATGTGTAAGTACAGTATGGATGTGAATAAAACATTATTCAAGAAAATGCAAATATGTATTTTATATAATCTATCTATCTATCTACAGTGGGGCAAAAAAGTATTTAGTCAGGCACCAATTGTGCAAGTTCTCCCACTTAAAAAGATGAGAGAGGCCTGTAATTTTCATCATAGGTATACCTCAACTATGAGAGACAAAATGAGAAAAAAAAATCCAGAAAATCACATTGTAGGATTTTTAAAGAATTAATTGGTAAATTCCTCGGTAAAATAAGTATTTGGTCACCTACAAACAAGCAAGATTTCTGGCTCTCACAGACCTGTAACTTCTTATTTAAGAGGCTCCTCTGTCCTCCACTCCTTACCTGTATTAATGGCATCTGTTTGAACTCATTATCAGTATAAAAGACACCTGTCCAAAACCTCAAACAGTCACACTCCAAACCCCACCATGGCCAAGACCAAAGAGCTATCAAAGGACACCAGAAACAAAATTGTAGACTTCAGTGGAACATATACTAGAGCAGATTACTGCTATTTCATACATACATTTTTATTTATTATGTATTATAGTACAGTTGAAAATGAAAGGTAGGTAAACAAAACAATTTTACATAAATATATTCTTAAATATTAAATAACATTACAATACAATTAAATTACAATGCAAACGCTGTAAGAAATTCATTGATTTTTATCATTTTTTCCATCAAACATTGACAATTTGTTTAATACATTTGACAAGGATTATGCATATCTTCTTTGATGAGCGCATTACATTTATGACAATAAAGTTGATGTGCTGTAGTTGATGTACCGTCACATCAGTACACAGTCCAAGACACTTGTTGGATCTTGTTGGGACCAATAAAGTTTTGCAGCGCCTCCCTTGATTTATCTAAAAGAGACACATAGATGCACTGAAACATCATTTTTGGACAACAAAATATGTGTTGCATTTGATGTCTGTGACCATGTGACTACCTGTAATCAGGGGGCATCCATGGAAATTGAAAATTCTGATGTTGGCGCAGTTTGCAAGAACAGTAGTCACAGCCACATCAGTCAAATTGCGACATCGTATCATCTGTAACTCCTGTAACAGTAAATAATTTATTAAAAATAATAATAATACAATCTTAAAATGGTCTTAATGAAAAATGTCAAATCTGTATGCAATACCTTTAAGCAGTGTGAACAAACTCCGGTTGCAAGTCCAATGACCCCTTGATCAGTTACCTTTAAATAGTGTGAATGTACAAGTAGTAAGTATTTGGTCAAGTGTGTACAAAATGTTTGAAAGGATTTAGAGCAGCACTATGATTTTGATATATACACTACCGGTCACAAATTTGGAATAATTAAGATTTTTAATGTTTTTGAAATAACACTCTAATGCTCATCAAGGTGGCATTTATTTGATCAAAAATACAATAAAAACAGTAATATTGAAAAATATTATTACAATTTAAAATAACTGATTTATATTTGAACATATTTTACTGTGATGCAAAGCTGAATTTTCAGTATCATTACTTCAGTTTTCAGTGTCACGTGATCAGAAATCATTCTAATATGTTTTTTTATTATTTTTTTTTACATTTTAAAAATCCTAATTATTCCAGAAGTTTGACTGGGTAGTGTCCAAAAAGTCTGAAAGCCCAACAACGGTGTAAATGACCTCTGTCCCAGAGAAGTAAATGCTGTGCAGCACCCTGCAATTCTCTCCCAGCTCCAGCAGGGCTCTGTCACTGAGAGCAGCGCAGCCACGCAGGGAAATCACTTCCAAACATTTGCAGTGTCGGGCCAGAGCCTGAACCCCTGAGTCTGTCACAGCCGTGCAGCCCGTCAGATCAACGACCTGAAGATAAGGGCACCGGGATGCCAGCACCTCTAGCCCTGAGGGGAAGAGAAATACAGCAAAGGTTGATGTCTTGAACAATTTCATTTGAGCAATAGTGCAATCAGATTTCAATTTACAGTCTGGGTGTTACTTTCCAAGATCGATAATAAAGAGGACCTGACATTTCCTTTCGGAGTTATTAGTCAATTAATAACTGCAATTTCATTTCAGTATATAAAGGTCAGAAAGTCTCTTATGTTGAACAAGACTTCATTTATTTGGTCAAAAATACAGTAAAACAGCAATACTGTGGAATATAATTACTATTTAAAATGACTGTGTTCAGTTTCATTATACTTTGAATTGTAATTTATTCCTGTGATGCAAAACTGATTTTCAGCATCATTACTCCGGTATTCCGTCACGTGATCCTTCAGAAATCAATCTAATATACTGATTTGGTAAACTTTTAAACATTATCATCAATGCTGACAGTTGTGCTGCTTAATATTTTTGTAATTTTTGATTTTTTGTTATTGTAGTTATTCAAATACTAAATATACATGTATTTAGCTCTAGATAGATTTATATTAGGGATGCACCGATATGAAAATTTTGGCCGATACCGATAACCGATTATTCCTATTATTAGTGACATTTTCTAGTTGATTATGATTAATAAAGCTTCATTATTATTAGTGCTGTCAAACGATTAATCACGATTAATCGCATCCGAAACAAAAGTTTGTTTACATAATATATGTGTGTATACTGTGTATATTTATAAATACAAACACATGCATGTATATATTCATGTTATGTTTATATGTTAAATATATTTATGTATTTATATTCCTATATTTTATATGCATGTAAATACATATAAATATTTTCAAAATATTTACTGTATGTGTGTGTGTATTTATATATACATAATAAATATACGCAGTACACATACATATGTAAACAAAAACGTTTATTTTGGATGCGATTAATCGTTTGACAGCACTAATTATTATTAACAAATAATAATATTTATAATTAATCCCGTAATATTTTCAGGTTTAACCATGGGGACACTGTTATTATTTACCCCATATATACCAATTTATACATTTCTAAATTAACTTATTAATAAGTGACTGTTGATTTTTTTAGTTAATTTCAGTGTTATTTTAGTACTATTTAAATTCTAATATAGTATGCATTGATATTTTTAATGTATGTTTATATATATATTTTTTTTTCAGCTTTATTTTAAATACCCGAAAAGATTTTTTATAGTTTTAGTTAACAATAACATTAGCTAATTTACCAACTAATGACTAGTGCATATCACAAATGAACCCCCATAAACAGCACTGATTTGTGAAAATAATACCCTCAGAGGTGATATCTGCACAGCCTCTTAACAGTATTGTCCTCAGCTGTAGGCAGTGGATTTGTTGAAGCGCAGAGTCCGACACCTTGCAGTTCTGCAGATCCAGTGTGTGAGTTCCGTTGTGCACGAGCTGAAACACAAATCACTCACGTGATGAGCGCAATATATTATCATCACAAATGCTCTTGTGATGGGGACGCATTACCTGGCTGATGTTGGAGTCGGTGACCGTGCCGTAAGACATCATTATTCGCAATAATCTGTCTTTAACGGCAGCAGGCAACATCCTGATCTCCTCATACCTCTCAGCGCGCTGAGCAACGCTAAAAGCGCACCTGCGTGCGGAGAAAACACTCAAAGATCTGGCATTCGTGCTATTAAATGAACAGAATTAATACTGTCAATAGCGTTAAACACTCAATAAAAAATGATGTTACTCACAAGCTCATAAGAGAATCTATGGTAGCCATGATTTGGTCGTTTTCAGTGCTGTTTATACACCTTTATATGACTAACTGCGAAGATATCATATGTAATATACGTTCATTATGCTTTATAATTTAATCACATCGTTAACTTTCAACCTGGCTTCTTCGTTGTCACATTGTTTTTTCTCTCTCTCCCTCGCAGGGCGGGTCGCGTTTATAGTGTTACGTCATTCATAAGCGACAAACATAAGCGTTCGAGGAATTTATATTGTTTGAATTCTTTTATTTTTATGCATTCTTTTTACATTAACACGTACTGTTTTGCGTTAATGTCTGTGAATGTTTAATACTGAACGTTTTTGCACTGTTTAAAGGCGATCTAGGAAAGGTAGTATAAAAACGCCACAGCTTCAAAATAAAGATTTTATTATTATTACGTTTAGTAGGTAGGTTATAATATTGTCTGCGTCTGGGAATCTATCTAGCCTATTACCAAAGGTGTTTCTTGAAATGCTTTATTATACAAATCTCCTCTCACAAGTGTACTTGTGTTCTCTGAAATGGCTACTATTAAAATACAGTTCACTTGTTTTATCACTGACCTCGGTGAATCACGGTTTAGCAGAGCTTAAAAACCAGGAGCAAAATTAAATGCATTTGAAACCAAATGTTTTTATTTAAAAAAAAAAAGGTCTTATAAAATCGTACAAAAATAGATTGTCAAATTTTTACAAACCAGTGGAATCCAAATAAAAACACTACAATATACAGAATAATAATAATAATAAAAAAATTACACTTTCATGACAAACATATTTCTTGGAAATGCAGTTAATGTATAAAACTGGTACACAAATACTGGATGACTAGCAGCTGTTGAACTGGATTAACAGTGTGCAAATGATGCATTTATAATATAATACAAATAATCAAGTTCAAGTAAACAGTAAAAATGTATTTGAACACTCGCAGTTTGTATCCGTTTAGGTTTATCATTCACAAGGAAGTAAACACATGACAAAATAAGCCCATTTGCTTTCATTTTAATAGAAAAAAAACAAATAAATCAAGCTCTTTCACTGGAATTCAAGTTCTGCTTGGAGGCAATGTCCTTCTTTTCTTGATATTTCTTTCTGAACTCTTGGAAGAGGCTACATGAATCTGAGATGTCAGTGTCCTGGATGGGTTGAGTGCACTTTTTCTTCAAGGGACTGAAACTCCAGACACCTGCAGATAGACAAGCACAAAGCCGTTTAGAGGAGTGGTAAACTACCTGCCAGACAATGCTATGTGATTCAGTTCATTAATCATTATTCAAAAGTGGTGAACTGCACTTTATAAGAGGCTAATAAAAATGTTACATTTCAAATTAACAACATGAATCTTCTCTCCAATACCTTGGGTTGGCACATGGCTAGTTTTCATCTTTTTGGCTTTTTCTTCTGGGCCTGACATCTCTTAAGAAAAAGGAACAGGAATTTATAAGTATACATTAGGTACAGCGTAAATAATAATAATAGCATATATTTTCAGAAGTTACCATTTTGCATACTCCGTGATGTGTCGGCTTGAGCTCCATCTTCAAAGTTAAAAGTCTCTGGCAATACTTTGAACTCCAAAGCAGGACCCTCATCCAATGGCATCAAAGCAGGGTTCCCCAACTCATATTTACTTTTCTTCACATTCTCGGGTGAATGCAATAATTTGGATGGCACAGTCTTCCCTCTAACTATATATTTATTCATTGACATTTGTTGCGTTGTATGCTTATTCGGTCTCTTTCGCTTATTTCCTTCAGCCAAATGGACGTCACTCTTCTCATAAGCACTTTGACAGAGCAGTTTTCTGACTGAGGTAGATGAAAGTCTAGTTTTGCTGAGTCCAGAAACAGGATGCGAGGGCAAGGATGTACGCTGAACCAGATTTTGCAAGGATACGCTTCGTTTTCGCGCTCTCCTGTCAGTAGCATCTTCATCTTCTGATTCCATACATTTGTGCTTCTTTGACTCACTGTTGTTTTTAACCTTCTGGTGAGAGCTTACAGTTACTTGAAGAGTTTTTGGGGGTTCTTCGCAACTTGATTTCTCTTTGCACCTTTTAGTTAGCTTTAGTTGGTTTCCTTTTTCAGAAGACGACCCATACAGTGCAAGCCATACTGTTTTAGTCTTCTTCAAATCAGGAGCCGGGGTGTCTTGCTCAATCTCATTCATAGGAGTCATGTTTGTTGCACATTTTGTGGGCGATTCATTTCTTTTCTGCTCTGAAGTTTCAGTCTCTGCCTTAGAGACCTCTTCAGAACTTGATAGGTCCTTCGCAATCTTTGTCTTGTCCGTAGTAGGATCATGCAGCAATGGGTTTTCGTCCTCAGAATCATCCGTGGTTTCAGAATCATCTGTGGCTTCAGAATCATCAGTTCTTTCAAGAGCAGCAGCATCCATTTCCACCCGTTCGCATTCACCTGGACTGTCTTTTTCAGCCTGCACCTCTAAACTTGTGCTATGGGCCTCAGTTTTAGTCTCCTCCTCTCTCAACTCGGCTTTTTTCTGGCACATGCACAATGAGCCATTTCCATATTCTAAAGTTTGAAACCATTTAGCAAGACAACAGTAAGACGCCAACTGTTCACCACCAGAACTTGGATATTTCCTCTCTTTTGGCTTCACATCTTCTAGGAGCACTTCTTTTTCAGACTTGAGTTCCAAAACTTTAACTTTCACCTGGTCCTCAGTGGAATTATGAACTGTAGTGTCTTTCTGCAAGTCCTTATTTTCTGTCTCACCAACAAACCAAAGCTCAGCCATTTCATGAGGGAGAACATTGATCTTAATAGAGTCTAAACGGTCAGTCTCCTCTTCATTCATGTTAACAGGAAGTTCTTGAGTAGGTTTTGGATCGGTCTCGCATCTCACGCTCTCATCTGTGAGCATACAGTCAATTTCCGGCATTTCTATATTGGATTTATTTTGCACTTGAGATGGTTCTTCAATCACAGGATCAAGTTTTGGTGGACTTCCACAATTACTTTGGCTCATTGATCCTTCGGTCAACACTGGACTTTTAGCTCCATCAGTCCCTTCAAACCTCCACATGTTTATCTGTTCTTTTGTCAATACAGTGTCTGTGGGTGAATTCAACAAACAGGCCTTGTGCATCGTCTCTGGTGGTGCAGCAATGTCTATATCTTCCATCATCTGATCAGCAAAGCATTGCATAGCCACTTCATGAGGGAGAACATTAATCTTAATAGAAGCTGAAGCATCCATCTCGACAAACTCCTCTTCATTCATGTTCATAGAAAGTTCTTGACTGGGTTTTGGATCAGTCTCACATCTCACGGAGTCATTTGAGAGTACACGGTCAATTTCAGGCATTTCTTCATTAGATTCATTTTGCATTTGAGATGGTCCTGTGAGCACTGGATAAAGTTTTGGCGGACTTGCATAGTCAATTTGGCTGGTTGATCCATCAGCCAACACTGGACTTTTGGCTCGCTTACAAAGAGGGTCATCCAGCCTTAATGTTGCATTCTTTGATGTTGGAGCAATGCCTCTATTTTCAGCAAAGCATTGTTTAGCCACTTCCAGAGTGAGAACATCAAGCTTAACAGAAGATGAAGCATCCATCTCAACAAACTTTTCATCATTGATTTGTATGGAAAGCTCTTGACAAGGTTTTGGATCAGTCTCACATCTTAGGGTCTTATCAAATTTACTGTTAAGCATAATTTCGCTGGATTCATTTTGCACTTGGGTTAATGGAACAAACTGCCGTTTTTCAACCACAGGACTAAGCGTCGATGCTTCAATTGTGCAGTCACTTTGGCTGGATGATTCATCAGTCAACATGGGACTTTGGGCTCCAACACTAATACCAAAACTGTTGTGCAGTTTTGACGTTCTAGATGACGGTTTATGCTTTTTCAAACCACCATGTTTTTCAATAAATTTTATATACTTTAATGAAACATTTCGTTTTTCCAGTGTCCTCACCAGATTTCTCATGCCCTTCAGTGGATTAACAGTATTTGGTTGTTGTTCATTAAGCTTCGGAGAGACATTATCAATCACTGGTGGAGATGGAGCAATCGAGGGAACAGGAGATTCTTCACAAATCTCATCGTACATATTTTTCTCCGAGGAGATTTGTTCTTCTTGCTGTACTTTGTCTGTAATCTGATTATGTTCAGCTAAAGATGATTTATACTGGTCTGATAGCAATGCTAGAACTTTGGATGCAGAATATGTGGCATATTTCTCCTCTAGCTTCTGCCTGCTTATCGGTTCTTCTGTTGATTTTGTGTCAAGTACATGGGGTGTGTTCAACAAAGGCACCTCGTGCTTGTCTGGAAATGCAGCAATGACTTTATGTCCTTTCATCTCATTAGCGAAGCACTGTCTAGCCATGTCATGAGGGAGAACGTTCATCGTAGTGGCTGAAGTATCCATCTTGTCAGTCTCCACTTCATTCACATGCACAGGAGGTTCTTGACTAGGTTTTGTCGTGGTCTTACATCTCACGTTCTTATCAAGAATGGCACAGTCATTAAGCATTTTTTGCATTTGAGAAGATAACACAATCTCCTGTTGTTCTGCAACCACATGAATGGGCTTTGGCGAGTTTGTATAGTCACTTTGGCTAGTTGATTTGGGTGACACAACACTCTTGGTTCCAAATTGGTTATCCAAACTTGACTTTCCAGTAGGGACACCTTGTTCATCCAAATCCACCATGGCCTCCAGAGAATTTGTAATAATTGGCTGACTGTTGGTTAGTTCTGTAACCTGACAATTATGCTTCGGTGAGCAGTTGATTTTAGTCACAGGTGGAGATTGTCCATTAAATGAAACGGGCACATTTTCATGTAGACTCTCATTTTTTGATGTTGGTTCGTCTGCTGGTACTTTGTTCTCCACCTCTGATGGTAATTGTTTGGTCCTAATCAATGATGGCTTTTCAGTGGCTTCTTGCAATGTGCTTGGTGCTTCACATGCCAAGTTTTGTGCTTCGTGTTCAGGGACATTTTGAAAAGACTTATAGAACCAAGAATAACCACATTCCTTGTCGATGTCATCAACGTTTTCATTAAGATTCAACCAGGACGACGTGTACGTCATCTTCGGTGGCGCTTCGTCGTGTTTTAAAACGTGAAAATCCTTGATGACTTTGCTACGTGCATCATTTACAATTTGCCTCAGTATCACAGGCTCGTTCATCGGAGAGTAAATATAAACT